TTTGGTTATTGATGGATAAATGATGGATAAATGATGGATAAATGATGGTTATTGATGGTTATTGATGGTTAAATGATGGTTAAATGATGGATAATGATGGTTATTGATGGTTATTGATGGTTAGATTATGGTTATTGATGGATAATGATGGATAAATGATGGTTATTGATGGTTATTGATGGTTAAATGATGGTTAAATGATGTTTAAATGATGGATAATGATGGTTATTGATGGTTAGATTATGGTTATTGATGGATAATGATGGATAAATGATGGTTATTGATGGTTATTGATGGTTATTGATGGTTAAATGATGGTTAAATGATGGTTAAATGATGGATAATGATGGTTATTGATGGTTAAATAAATGTTTTTGATGGTTAGATTATGGTTATTCATGGATACTGATTGGTTAATGAACATGTCGTTAATGGATGTTAATGGTTTATGATGGGTTATGATGGATTATGAGTGAATGATGGTAAATGATGAAAATTATGGATGTTGATGGTTAATGAACATTGTTGATGGTTGATGATGGATTAATGATAGCTGATGACGATGGTGAATCACGGTTGTGAACTGTGAGCTATACGTTTCACGATATTTTGCGCGCAAGTTCAGAATGATTTTATTCATGGCTTATATTTGTTCTCGCGATGTTGAGTGTTTTGTTGGTTCGTCCTGAAGGTCGAAAGAGGCAAAAAACAGGTTGATTTTGATTTTGTTCAATGGAACATTCATGAACATCATCAATTACTTTCTGGCCGGATAACCGTTTACAACTTGGGAATATGCATTGCCAGTTAAATTGTTGAGGGGATACGAATCGTTTTGACTTTGGGGCCACACCCCAGAATTGGATGATGGGAAGAATAGCACTGTTCACCCACATCAATATACAAGATGGTTAAAATTTGGTAAACACCCAGGGTTTCCAGTGGAATTTTGATCGGAAAACCACGTCAATGAGTGAAAGAACCACCTCCAGGGGTTTGAAATGATGGTCAGATGGGCAGAATAGCCATCAGTGACATAAGTAATGGATCTAGAATCATTTTCTACAGTTTTATACAGTAAAGCCGTCATTTCATCGTGTCGGTGATTCAGCGTGAATTTTCATCCAGATTTTGGATTTGTCTGAAAATGATCGGAAGTTCTCCCGGACTGATGTGTCCGAAAACCGTGGGTTTTCCGGTTTTCCCCATGAAAGACCTAGCGACAAATCGTGGCGTTTCAGGTGTCCATTTGTGCTGTCAAAGTCCATCCAGGGAAGCGGTGCGGTAGCCGGGTGATGGTGATGCTACTCCTCTGGTTTTAGGGAAAAATGGTTTCATCATTGGTGATTCATGGTGATTCATGGTGATTAACCCCTATGGGACTTCATCATTGGCTGGCTAGAAATTTCCCAGCCATAGTTAGATGATTTTCCGAGCCATGTCTGATTACCATATATTGTTTTCCTTTTTTTTCCCAGTGACACTGCGAAAAAATATGGACATAGCCGCATAGCCCAGTTGCAAACACCGCCATATCATTGAAACCAGCAAGAAAAGAATAGTGGTTTAAACCAAAAAATCACCAATGATGAACAATTTTTATCCATTAAAAACCAGGTTAATGGTTTTAATGGCAATTAACCATGGTTTTTTAGTGGGTTTTATCATTTTTTTCCCTAAAAACCTGGGGTTAATTGCCATTAATGATCATGAACGGCGAGATTTGAAGCCGCTGTGTTTGACACAGGGCCCAACGGGGATAAAGAAACCAGCGAAATTGGGGCGAACTCAACCGGCAACACTATGGTCATTTAACCTGAATATATTTTATGTCTATATTTATGTATTTGTTTTATCATTATAACAATAGTTTGCATACCTACTCATTATACACATCTATGTTTATACATATATATATAATATATATACAGAGATATATGTATAAGGTTCTACTTCCCACACTACTTACAGATACGCATGTGCGGAACCGTAACACATAACTATATATATATGCATATATATGGTTCTATCACTATATGTGCTAGTTGTCAGGTGGATCTATAACTATATATAAACATATGGATCTATTAATATCTGGACCATCTATAAATATATATATATATATTATATATTGCAATATATACACATAGACTATAAATATATATATATATATATTCGTTAGTTAATCCACTATGTGCTTGTCTACACATCTGGCTTGAGTAGCCCGTGAGGCCGGATGAACCCGAGATGCGGCTCATGAGCAAGCTGGCCTGTCGCGAGTGCCCAGCGGTTTTGGTTGTTTTTTGGTGGCCTTTGATCGGAGGTTTTTTCACGAGGAAAGATGGTGGCTCAACCATGAAAATTATGATTAATACTGTAAATGGAATTTAATGGGACATAATGGGAATATAATGGTAATATAATGGCAATATAATGGGAGTATGATGGCATTTAATGGGATTTAGCCTCCGGTAACCTATCATACTTATGGAAAATGGATGAACATGGCCCACTTTAGTTGGATGATTTACCTATGAACAACGGTGATCTTCCATAGTCATGTTAAATTACCAAAGGGCATAGAGGCATAGCCCTGGCAATGGATCCCTTCAGGAGATGATCTCTAGCCATGGATTCTCCATGATTCTCCTAAATTTTGATGTGGGATATGATGTTCCATTACCATGATTGATAGACGGAAGATTGTCCTGAAAGATTTGAGGCTGCGTGTCTTGTGCAAACAAACATGGCACCCGAACAGTCAATGCCGATCGACCGATTGAATTTGGGGAGCTATCACGGCCAAGTTTTACTATCAGAGGAATCCAGAAAGCGCATCGTTTTTGGTAGCTTTAAGTATGGTGCAATGGTGAAGAATCTCACCACGTACTTCCAGTTCAAGAAGATCATCCACCAGCTGATCATTTTTTGCGATGCGTCTCGTTTGTAGGGAATTCAACTAGAAATCACAGCGCTTGTAGGAGGTTCATCATGGACATGTTCACATTTGTTGAGAGGTTTCTGCCAGACTCTCCTCATGGTGAGTGCCATGTAAGCAGCTTTCCCGATCAAATTGAACAGCACAGCTTGCTGCGATGCAACAAAAGTCAAGCTCAAGTCTGATACAGACCAAAAGTGTCATTGATCATTGATTTAGAGTGAAGATTTCGAATCAAAATTGTTTAACTGATTGGCATCAACTATAAATAAAAATTGCCTAGACAATACTTATCCAACACACCCCTCACTTCCATGCAATTCTTCCAAGAGTAATCCGTTTAGTTCTCCTTGCCCATCACGACACAACCCCCCCAAATACCACCCTGGAACTGCACCAAATTTTGCTGGAGTTTTGGAGGGATCACTGCCTTACCGCCATGGCCGCCAAGTGTTTTGGCACTCTGTCGCAAATGTGTTGCGGCGGAAGAGAGGGCGGACGACAGAGCAGGAGAGGGTGGGAGATGCGACCGGTGTGAGTTGAATTGTGGTGAGACAGTCTTCAAGGTGGTCAAGACAACATAAGAAAGCTCTTCAGCGCTTGAACTGTTCAACAATTCTGTGAAGAATCAGTGTGTCTGATCTGTGTCGAACAAGGCAACTATCAATTTTGACACTTCAGCTAGTTCCAGGCCACCGCAATGGTGGTTTTCAGTGCCAGGGCATGCTGGGCCAGCTCTTCCTTGCAGTTCTGAAATGTACCATATACATTTGATACTTTAAGTGTAATGATGTGCAATGATATTATGATATTATAAATGTATACATAGATGCATACAGAATGCAGTGAAGAAAACTGATGAGCTGACGATAACCTATACGGCTTACAGATACACATACATGTATTGTTGAGTATATATACACACACATTTGTGTATATACAAGATATGTATGAACCTGCATACATATTATATATTTATATATAATTCCGCATTATTGTCCATATTGTGTTGTCAAGAATATGAGTGTGTGTATTTACACATATCATATGATCATAATCATGTTTTTGTTTAATATAAGTGTATATATATATACATATGTCATTATGTATATGTTTTATCCTCTAACGTTAGCTTGAACATGCCATACTCAACTATGGTAGCCCTTTGTCCGTAGATCGCGACAGGATCTACTTGATCCGGTGACTTGGCGCGTTTGGGTCAAGGGCTTCTGAAGAGATACCTATGAATTATTTTGAAATATATATTGAAATACATATGGCAGTGTGTCAAAACCTTGTACCCCTGGTGAACCCCAAAATAGCTGGTAAATGGATGTTCATCCCACTAAAAATGGCATTTATAGGTATTGACCCATACCCATATTGAAATATATTGAACTAGATTGAAATATGGGGTGTAACCATGTAAGCAACAATTCGTGGCTATGAAACTTATGTGGTAAACCCAATGCCATTTGTTCCATCGATAGTTTCAGGTTTTTGGCAGGTATATACCTTATATACACCTATGCCCTATGAATGGGATGTCTATAAATTGAGTCCTCTATGATGGCCATTGGTCCTGTCCCATCTCAAGCTCCGACATCCGAGGCATGGTGAAACAGCCTCGTGGCCGCAGCCGGGAGGATCGTGGTGCAAACATGGGACAGCCTTTAATCAACAACCCCCCATTCGGGGAGAGTTGACATACCACCAATAAAATTGTGTTTTTTTTGGGTAATGGTGTATTAATGTTTATTATTGAAGTGCCCAGTCAGTAGTGGTTTTAAGATGTTGTAAAGACTGGTCGTTTGGTTAACGCCGTTGAATCCAGCGAATTTGGTGTCAATGATCCAGTGAGACATCACGTCTTTTCTTTAAAGTTGCTCAACGTCCCAAGATCTATTCTGATCAGAGTTCATATTACCATAGAATACCATGGTACTAAACTTACTTAACATACATGGGATCTAAGGGATTTAGTTCATAGAAATCCATACATGTACTAAACTTACTAAACATACATGGGATGCCAGGATTTATTGGGTCAAACACAGCCCTTTTTTTCCCAAGGTTTGGAATGCAGACCGGCGGATACAGGGGCAGCACCTTGCCGCAAGCCTGCGGGGTGGAGTCCCTGAAGTCTCAGGATCCTATGGCTTTACATGATTGAGATACCTCCCATACCTACCGTATATAAGGCCTATGTTAAGGGCACTCCGGAAGTTTCTTGGATTTTGAAAGCAGATCGAATCAAAAGTGTTCAAAAGTGGTTGGGAGATGTTGAAAGAGCCTCCATTCTTCAGAGGATCTTGAAGTCTTGAGGGTTTCACATGTGAAGTGGTTGGGCAGATCATGGCTCCGTTCGGGATCGTTGGGGGTTTGTCCAGGTGTCCGACTGTATGAGAATTCAACATAACCTTTGTTCTGTTGTGAATTGTGCTCAACTCCAGGGCGATGCCCAAGATGTCTAAGAAATTCTCTTCATCCCCATGGATTGCATTCGGCCAGGTCCCCCAGAGATTCGGCTCAATGGAGTTTCTCAGGCTGGATATTGATATCAACGACACCGGCATGAAGCAAGCCCAGGTGACGTGCCAAGCAGCGATCACACCGAGAGAAAAAAATATGATGAGTTCACCCATGGTGGAGATCCCCAAAGGTTAGGAACAGATACTACGCTATCTTTGAAGCGCTAGTAACTTAGTAGCCATTTCTTTGAAACAGTATTCACATATAATAAACAATAATAAACATATAAGCATGATTTATCATGATTTATCAGATTCGTTACGTCAAGCATTCACTGGGAATCGTTGTAATTAAGTTGTGAGGTAGGCTTCTCAATGATTTGCATACCCAATCCGACCATGTCCATGTGCGATTCTACAATATGATAACAATTAGATGGCTCAAATGATGCCTTTCCAAGTTCCAAGCATTGCCAAAGTGTCACTCGGTCAAGGATTGTTTGCCATGGCACATCACATTTGGTCACCTGATATTCCTATTGCGGTTGTGCGGGAACTTGGCTTGTGATATCTCAAAATGATTGTGCCGCAACTAAGAATGGTTCAATGCACATCTACAATCATGTACAATAGTGTCAATAAATTGTCTAATGCATATCTGATTGGTGGTTTCAAACATTTTTTATTTTCCATAATTATGTGGGATAATCCTTCCCATTTCATATTTTTCAGAGGGGTAGGTCAACCACCAACCAGTGATAAATTGAGGATGTTTGGGGATCGACCGACGCACAGGGCGTGGCGAATGCATTGGATCAACTAGGCATCTTGCGCAAGATCGATGCTGTTGCCTCTTCGGTTGGCTGGCGATGTTTAGTCGGGAAACTGGCGCAAACTACACACGGAAGATCCGGATGTACTTGAGGTTCGCTCTGTCCCTCTCTCTCTCTCTATGTGTGTGTGTGTGTTTTCTCTGTAAATACATTGAATCATGGTACGTGCGGGTACATACCTTTGGCTTGCGTATCCTTTTAAACAAAATGAACAAATTATTTCCGAGACCAAAACCAGGCTCTTGAGCCAAAATCCAGAAGAAGGGAATGAAAAGCTGGTTTCGGAGGAAAACTTGGTTTTGCTTGCCTTAAAGAAATACGGTTGTCAACAGCGCCGCTGAGAAAAACGATAGCTTGAAACATGGCCATTCCCCTCCATCAATGCTATGATTTGCACGGCAGTTGCTTGAAACCTCCATATCAATGATATGTTTATTCCAATTATCTTCCCACTTGCAGTACCTTTCAACTTTGATATATGTTTAATTAAATATGTTGAAGATATATAGTATTTGTGGGTTTGTTGATGTTTGTTGTAATAATTTTATTCCCCCGATGCCATAAACAACTACCATTTGGCGATGATGTATACCATTGTATACCATTGTATACCATCCACTTATGGCATTAAAAGGGAATGTTTTTTTGGCATTGAGTGTACAACAATACGCTCTGAACATAGCTATCAGAAATCACAATTCTTAATCGGTAAATCATGGTAAATCACCGAATTAAATGGGTAATGTTCATTCATTTTCCGTAACTATGTTGAAGTACCGGAGTGTACTCCAAGTATTGCAATGAAATTTCGGAGTCTTCAGATGGTTTTTTATGGCCGAGGACTTGCAGAGGGCTTCGCGTACCGCTGACATCATCGCAGTGCTTCGGCTACCGGTGAAGATCAATGCAATCCTCTGCTTGGGGATGAGATCATTTAAGGGTATGTTTTATTGTTGTTGACTTGGTTTCACCACTTTATGTATGACTGTAAACAGAATTATTAGTCTTTGGACTCCAATGCCTCATAGATTGGTGACCCGATTGTGATTATACTTTCCATTGCGTGATTTGGCTGTATTTGCATGTTTACAGGATTGGTTTTTATTTCCATGAATCGTGGCGTGTTGTCTTGATGAATTTTTACATGCTACATGAGTCTCATGCATTTGGGTGTTTCCCCGCATCAGCTATTTACGCTTCCAAATTCTATTCCCGTTGCTTTCCAGTCACGTCCATCACTATGCCCTCTAAGTTGTTGACTTATACTCAACAGAGTTGTAGCTACAATGTGTAGGTATTATTCAAATTATTTGCCAAAAAAATGCACGCTTCAACACGATAACTCTCCCAGTCGAGTTGCAAACAACACACGAAATATCCTGAAAATCTCCCCTCAAAAAGACTTCATTCCAAACATGTTTGATGGTTGTTTGGCCTATAAATGATGTTGACATTCATATGAACCCATCAGTTGTCCCCAGTTATCATTTATATTTATATACCCTTAAAAAAATCAGTTATCAACTATAGCCCCTTAAAAATTCGGTTATCAACTATATACCCTTAAAAAAATCAGTTATCAACTATATCTCTTGAAAATTCAGTTATCAACTATATCCCCTTAAAAATTCAATTATCAACTACATCCCCTTAAGAATTCAGTTATCAACTATATATATATATATATATATATTGTATATATATATACATACCCTTAAAAATTCAGTTATCAACTATCTATCCCCGTAAAAAAAAATAGTTAGCAACTATATCCCCTTAAGAATTCAATTGTCAACTATATATATATATGTGTATATATTAATATACATCCCCTTAAATTAAAAATTAGTTATCACCTATATCCCCTGAAAAATTCAGTTATCAACTATATCCCCTTAAAAGTTCAGTTATCAACTATATCCCCTTAAAAATTCAGTTATCAACTATACCCCGTTAAAAATTCAGTTATCAACTATATCCCCTTAAAAACTCAATTATCAACTATATGCCCTTAAAAATTCAGTTATCAACTATATCCCCTGAAAAATTCAGTCATCAACTATATCCCCTTCAAAATTCAGTTATCAACTATATCCCCTTAAAAAATTCAGTTATCAACTATATCCCCTTAAAAATTCAGTTATCAACTATATCCCCTTAAAAATTCAGTTATCAACTATACCCCGTTAAAAATTCAGTTATCAACTATATCCCCTTAAAAATTCAGTTATCAACTATATCCCCTTACAAATTCAGTATCAACTATATCCCCTTTAAAATTCAGTTGCCAACCATATTCCCTTAAGAATTCAGTTATCAACTATATCCCCTTAAAAATTCCGTTATCAACTATATCCCCTTACAAATTCAGTTATCAACTCTATCCCCTTCAAATTTCAGTTATCAACTATATATCCCCTTAAAAATTCAGTTATCAACTATATCCCCTTAAAAATTCAGTTATCAACTATACCCCGTTAAAAATTCAGTTATCAACTATATCCCCTTAAAAACTCAGTTATCAACTATATCCCCTTAAAAATTCAGTTATCAACTATATCTCCTTAAAAGTTCAGTTATCAACTATATCCCCTTCAAAATTCAGTTAGCAACTATATCCCCTTAAAAGTTCAGTTATCAACTACGTCCCCTTAAAAATTCAGTTATCAACTATATCCCCTTAAAAATTCAGTTATCAACTATATGCCCTTAAAAATTCAGTTATCAACTATATCTCCTTAAAACATCAGTTATCAACTATATCCCCTTAAAAATTCAGTTATCAACTACGTCCCCTTAAAAATTCAGTTATCAACTATATTCCCTTAAAAATTCAGTTATCAACTATATCCCCTTAAAAATTCAGTTCTCAACTATATCCCCATATCTTTGGTCATATCACCATGATTATTCCGAATATATCCCCATTTCAACTAGTTATCCTTTTCGCCTAATTGGGGATAAAATCATTGTTCATCACTTATTCATAAGTTCCCTACGAAAAAAATAAACTCATTTCAACTATACAGCATCACTTATATCATGTTATCTCAACTATATAATCTATTATCCCCATATTCAGCAATATCATGATAACATATGTATATATATATATAAGTTAGACCTTGGCACTGACACACTTCACATATCTATACTCCCCACACACATTTGCCCCCATTTCAGAACTACATAACATCTCATACATGATAAACAACAAATCATAACAACATACCACATACACCATATTTCATAACAACCTACCATATCAACAATACCATGATACATTACCGAAGTTCGCCAGTGCCACCTCCTAGAAAATACAAAACACAACCAACAAAAACGAAACAAAATAAGACAATACCCAAAACAAAACACCAACCCCGCAAACAAAAAGCAATCCCGTCAACAAACAATATATATATATATTATATATATATGTATATATAACACAAAACAAAACAACGGACAACATTATGATAAATTCTATCAGCATAAGTTTTCCCATCTCATCCGTTTTCCATCATCATAATTCATCATAATTTCAGCATGTTTCATCATGTTTCATCATTTTTCATCTTAACTCATATTGACTCATCTTAACTCATCTTAACTCATCTTAACTCATCTTAACTCATCTTAACTCATCGTAACTCATCTTAACTCATCTTACATCATCATCATCATCATCATCATCATCATCATCATCATTTGAATTTTCATTGTTTTTTCCCATTTGTTGTTCTTTTACGCTTAAACATAGCAAGCTGTCTATTATTGATTGAACAATCGTATGCCTTGTTGTAGTGGTTAGAATTTTCCCATGCATTCGTCCATTACTCATTGCCCCGCCCTTTGCTACATCTTCACCGTACCCTTCTCGGTCTTGCTGTCGGGATTCTCAGATGGGATGGTATGGAAGTGCGAAGCCAGCATGATGTGCTGCAGAAGGTTGATGCCATTGGAATTGAACAACTACTTATCGTAGCATTGTCTTTGTAGACCCTGATGCTCCGTAGCTGGGCTCAATCAGGGCCACTATGCCACTCTCTATGCGACTCCAGTTATGGCTAGAGCTTGCTTTTGTTATTTGCGAGCCATGTTACTCGAAGTTCGTGACGCCCGCACCGCATGCCAATATGACGAACGATGCGCAGTGCCTGTTGCAAGTTCCCCTGGTCGAACATCAGAGCTGCACCAGTAAGCCGTACCACACATGGCGCATCCCGTGCACTGAGTGTTCAAGTACGTCTACTGTGAGTCAAAAGTTTCACTTGTACTGTGTCCATTAATGCACCGGTCTCCGTGCCAGTCACGATTTTGTCAATGCCACTCACAATACGGCTAGGCAGCAGCTCCCACAGAAGTGAGACTGCCACCTGTGAAAGACTAAACATGAAAGAAAAATGCGAAAATCCACTGCTCACAGTTTCCAGACTGTGAAACCACAGTTGGGATGGTATGGAAGTGCGAAGCCAGCATGATGTGCTGCAGAAGGTTGATGCAATTGGAATAGAACAACTACTTATCGTAGCATTGTCTTTGTAGACCCTGATGCTCCGTAGCTGGGCTCAATCAGGGCCACTTTGCCAATTCGCGTTTTGCCAGAAGAAACTCACTATGCGACTCCAGTTATGGCTAGAGCTTGCTTTTGTTATTTGTATGACGAACGATGCGCAGTGCCTGTTGCAATCTCCCGTGCTCAAACATCACAGCTGCCAGAAGCATAGGAGTGGGGAGCATTGGTACGTCCCGTGCACTGAGTGTTCAAGTACGTCTACTGTGAGTCAAAAGTTTCACTTGTACTGTGTCCATTGTTGCCCCGGTCTCCGTGCCAGTCACGATTTTGTCAATGCCACTCACAATACGGCTAGGCAGCAGCTCTCACAGAAGTGAGACTGCCACCTGTGAAAGACTAAACATGAAAGAAAAATGCGAAAATCCACTGCTCACAGTTTCCAGACTGTGAAACCGCAGTTTCAAAACTGTGATGGTTTAAAGGCAGTGTGTTTCTGGATTCAAATTCAAGTTTTCGGTGATTATACACAGGTCATTTGGGCTGGAATTGTTTAACATTCCACTTTGCCTTGCAATAAGGCAAGCATGACAAAGACCGCACATGCCCAAGAGAGGAAGACGAAAAGAATTCAAGCAGGTTTTGGGCAAGTGCTCGGTATTTGGAAGTCGTATGAAGTCCTTTGTTAAAAACACACTTGTGTATCAATCAACACCCCCACTCCACCGGCTCAAACTGCCCATCCCGAGGTTGAGAAGACAAGATACAGAATGTCAAGCAGAAGGTTGAACCAGAGCATGGAGAGGCATGACATTTGGTCATGAATTCAACCAGAAACTGGAAGGAGTGAAACTACCAAACAATCTTCCAAACTCAACTTTTGGGAGGGTTTATCCAATCCCTTGGGGATATATAAATACAACTTACCCACGTACCCCCATACACATAACATATTAACATATCATAGAAAAATCATAAAATAATATTATCCTCGCACATTCACCCCCGCTTTCAAGATTTCTGGTCTTGAAACAGTTTGGCACTGCCGTGGATGGGAATGGGGACTGGGTTAAATATAAATATATGTCTATGTCTATATCTATATTTATCTTATCTTTGACGAAGGCAACGCCACAACAGCTGACCCAATGGCAGGCACAGTATGTCCAGTGGCAAGGCGTGGCATCTACCTAAAACATACAAAATTTACTGCTGTCATAATTTCTTCAACCAGTGGTTCAGGGACTTCATACAAATCATTTTGTTTAAACAGCGTGTAGTTTTCCTTCCAGTTTTCCTTTCGCCCACTTGGTGCTCTCTGCGCTGTTTCTTTATGTCTGTTCCCATCAATATTTCCGCAATCCCTCAAACACAAGTCCCGAGGTTTCCAAGTATCAAGATTGTTCCATAATCTTGTTATCTTCCTATATGGCATCCCATATTTACAGTAGTCAATATCTTTATACGGCAGTCCATCCATAGAAACTTGTTTTTTAAGTAGTCCTGTCTGAGGGTTTTCAATAAACCATACCGCTGGTTTAAAATACTCAATGGTTTCAATAGTTTTCATTACTATTTTATTTGCTTCATCAATTTTTCTTACGCCTGTTGTTTTCGCTATGCTGTATTCAATACATGGAGGTGACGCCCACACAAAATCAAAGTATCCTGATGGATATTGCCGATAATCCCAATCCAGTATATTACAATTAATATCGGCATTGTTCAAGTCCAATGACACAACTTCCCAATGAAGTTTTTTTGCCACCTTTCCCACACTACCAGTTCCACTAAATAACTCCAATAATTTCATAATAATATTTATATTAGAAATATTATTATCAAATTAACACATATGTATCACCATCCTTTGCAATCTTATAGAATTCCAATGTTTGTTCTTTGGGTTGTTTGATTTTTCCATCATTCAGCATTTTCAGATACTGACCTTGTTTGCTTTCATAACTTCCAGCAGGACGACCAATGCCCTTCTTTGTAAATGCTTCTTCAACTTTTGCCTTATCTTCATCAGCATCCACGGGTTTTACAGTCAATGCTGTTCCTATTTTCTTGTCAATTTCTTCAAGTTTTGCCAGAACAAGTTTCACCTGTTTAGCGTATTTGTTGAACTTATCTATCAGTTCCTTCATTTCAGTCTTACACTCATCACCACTTGACTCTTGACATTACTATATATTTGTTTATTTTGAAATTAATTTATGTAATTATTTATTTATGGGTTGGAGTTGATAGAAAAACTACTCTTTAAGTATGTTTGTTTCAATCCATTTCATTCATGGTGAAGTTTTAGGGTATAGTTCTTATTTTGGACTATTGTTTTGTTTGTTGCTGAGGGGTTTTGTTTTTTAGGATTGTTGGTTGTGTTTTCTATAAGGGGGCACTGGCGCACTTCGGTAATTAATCATGGTATAGATGGTTGTTAGGTTGTTATGATTTGTTGTGTATAAACTGTTGTAATTGTTAGACAGTTCTTAAATTGGGGCAAAAGTATAGGCGGGAGTATATGCATGCGAAGTGCGCTAGTGCCTAGGTCTAACTATATATATCATATATATATATATCATATATAGTATATTAAGTTATGTCATCATCTATATTAACTATACCATCAGTTATCAACGTTCACGGACTTAAAAATCCATGGTGTCCAGGCGGCCTGCGAGAGATCGCCGCCCCGGAGCTTGGACCCCCAACTGCGCGAGATCGGCGCCTTGTCGGAGCGGAGGATGTAGAAGGCCGAAGCAGGACATGGCGGATGGAAAACCCAGGAAAACCCGGGGGATTTCAATGGAATTCATGTAGATTTAATGTGATTTCACCTAGAAAAACTGGGGATTGAGTGTAATTTGATATGGTTTGATGTGATCTGATATCATTTAACCAAGATAAACCAGGGATTTAATGTTATTTAATATGATTTTATCAATTGATAACGGCTAATATGGGTGTCTCGGAGAATAGGGGTTTACCAGAAATGAATGGAAGTTTAACCAACAATAAATGATGGTAATAAGCAACTTGATATCTTTGGGATTTCAGATACATCCATTTGTTTATGATATCTGTTTGTTCATGCTATAGGGGGTCCCCCAAAAAGCTTGATTTTAGGTCCAATCTATATATATTCATCACACTTGGATTGGATTGGATTTTACTCAACTCTATCGTTTTAGAGGTTACGAAAATCCATCATCTTCTTTGCCGGCAAACTACGAATATTCATCGATATCGGCCATTTTTTGCTTGGCTACCCCCCTATGTTTGTTGTTTGCCTCTCCAGTGACTCTCCGGTATACAAACAAGTCGATATGGACACCCCTTGTTTCCATAGGCAAAGATCTATACATGGGGGATCTTCCATACATCCATATCTATGTTTTGTTTCTCTGTTACCTGCATGGATTGGGGTATGATGGACTGATGTTTTGTTGGTTTATGTCCGGTTGAATTTTTTGATATGTAAATGAGTGTGTGTTTGGTGATATATGGTGTCACGACTGAAATGTAAAAGAATGTATAGATATGTATAGATAACTTCATATTGGGATGGGTCAAAGCCTATTATCAGCATAAATCACCATATTTTGGGGAATAAACATCCATTAACCAGCTATTCTTGGGTACCATCCGGGTGCCAAGAGTTGTCACTCATAGCCTCATGGGTGTTCAAAACCTACCAACGTTTTGATCCATGGCCATATCCGTCATGATTTATAAGTCGGGTTATACATAGTTGCAGTGGTTATATTTTATAGAGGTTGGAATCCCATAGGATGAAGTATGAAGAATACCGATCCCATATGTTAAATCCCATAGTTGGAGTTATGGTTATATAGATGTGGTTAGTATTATTTTTTGATGGCTATTAACTGTTGTCAACATGTGTTAACCCCGAAGTATCGTATACCTATCGCTTTCCTCCTTGGTGCCGGGGGGGTTGAAGGATTAGAGACACCAAGGCTATGGCAAGCTTCAGGGCTCTCAGAGCGACAACGAGCAGAGATTCTTGGATGTAAGGCGGATGGTTGGGATAATAATGGGTTAATAAGCACATTCTGGGATGATAATATATATATATAACCCACAACAAAGTGGGTTTTAACCGGACGTGGGATAGTGGGATCACATTGGAATCAACTCATGTAGGAAAGCCCATAGAAAAGTACCTACTGGGGATGGTCGAAATTTATACCAACCATGAAAATGTTGATGACTTGGAGACGGTTTTTTTGTTGGGTTTACCACATTCTAGTTGATAGACTTGAGTTTGGAAGCGAAACTCGTTTCACGACCCTTAAATCAGCGGTTCGTTTTGAATATCTATATGTATACTGTATATATACCTCAATAGCACGTCCTACAGATGATGTTTTGGGGGGCCACATGCTAAACACATAAAGGAATGTGGTAGAGACTAGCCCAATCACAGGATAAAGTTTAGCCGGTTGGATGGTGGTTGCATGCAGACCGGAGAAACTACTGCTTCCATGGGCTCAGACATTGTCAGAGCCGAACAGATCCGAACAGGCTAAATTTCAGTCTCTTAATATTTCCTCGTTGAAAAGTCGCCATTCTGAAATCATCCTTTTCCTTTGACGGAAACCCAGTAGTTTTCCAAATCTATGAGAGTTTGCCAGAGGGTTTTTGTGAGGGACCCGCAAATGCACATCCGGTCGATAACAGAGGGATGATCGGTGCGCCACTTGCGATCCACTATATACAACCATATCTACATATCTACATATATTCTACATATCTACATATCTACTATCTACATATATTCTACATATTTGTTCTACATATCTACATATTTATTCTACATATATTCTACATATACTCTACATATACTCTACATATATTCTACATATATTCTACATATACTCTACATATACTCTACATATATTCTACATATATTCTACATATATTCTACATATATTCTACATATATTCTACATGTATTCTACATATCTAGTACACATACACATACATGAAAAAACATGTGTATAATAGATACACATACACATATACACATACACAGATACATATATACACATGCATATACATACAATCATATGCATATACATGCACACACATACACATCCACACAAACATACACATACTCATGAACAAGTACATACTCATTTACATATATACAAACAGACATACATAATAATTAATTATCAGATGACAAATGTAAAAATTGGTGTTATTGTATGTTGTGGTTTACATCTTCAGCGTCTGCTTGTATATGTAGTGGTTTGGGTTGGCGGTTTCCGGGGTCTTGAATATTGACGGGTTTTCCAATCAATGCGGAAAGTAGGTGATGATTTTTTGGAATGGTCAAATCGGTTCCCATGTTTTTCCCTGTGTTTTCCCGGTAAAGTAACGAGTTGTTTATCGTTGCTGCCCAACAAATAAATCGCGGTGCCAGGCAAACTCTTGCAGCAAAGCACCTTTGAGGTGCGCCAAGTCGTCGGGTTCAATCCAAGAACTCAATGGGCCATGTTCAATAGCTATGTTCAATGAAAAGAGGGTAACTAGTTTTCTATATATTATAATATATATATATAACATACTATAAGTGTGAGTATGAGAATAGTTGTATTAGTATCTACTAGCATAAGTATCAATATTAGCATGCTTAGTACTAGCATAACTAGAACTATGCTTATTTTAAACAACTATTGGTTTAGAAGTAACTATATATGCATAGTATAATTTCCATCAACCAACCGGGGTCCCCCAATCCCCCTGGACAAGATTGTGATAGTTGCAATATGTTGTGATGGGAAAAGAACTGGCCGTAACTAAACTAGTCTATAACATTTTACAAGGATATATATATATATAACTAGTATATGTTTTTCTTGATATCAACTAGGATTTTGTTGATGGATGTATCGAACTAGATTGGTCATAGACCAACAAACATAAGAGGGCTTCCTGTGGGAGTTGTCATTTTGCCATATTTTTCCCACAGAAGCAATATATATATATATATATCAACCTAGTACAACCAAAGCCTAACTTTTTGCAGGATAAAAATGAAAACCTCGTGTTTTCCAGGGTGCTCTGCTAAAACATTGTGTTTCCAGGAAAAACATCGTGTTTTCCCAGGATGGCTCTATAAACGTTGTTTTCACATGATTTGGCACCACTTAAGCAGACAAGGTACAGAATTCAACCTATCATATCATAGTTATTTGATATCATCATCCCGTGAACTCAATAGATATATATGATGATGGCGATGCTATCCCCGCTGACAATACCTCGAATTCCACCATGTGGATCAGACAGTGCCCAGCATTGGCCATGAAAGGGATGGCCATTCAAGGATTTTTCTTGGATAAGATTTAGGATTCTGATGAAAGCTACACACTTGCTTTGATCATTGGACCCTAGTAGTTGTAGACAAATAGGGGTTTCCTAAAATGCGGGTCCCCCCAAATCTTCCAAAATTGGTCATTATCAATGGGAAAACCCAAAGTTTTGGGGTAGCCATATTTCATGAAAGCACCAAATTTGGGATAGGCATCCATGGCTTTCGCGGGGTTGGCGATATTTGGAGGCTTGGATCAATGGCGACCTGTCTAAGGCGGGATGGTGAATGGGGAACGTGAATCAACACATACCCTCTGGTAAACTAACATAACTATGGAACGTCATGATTTTTTATGTGCAAATTAACTATAAATGGCCATGTTCAATAGCTATGTTAAATTACCAGAGGGTATTTTTAGGAGAATCTGATGGTGAATCCCGTAGCCAAAGGATAGCAAAAGAAGTTTGTCCAGAACTCGTTGCTCTTTGCGAAGCACTTGGCCCCATAGTTGTCACCGCTGGTAATGATCAGGTCAGAACCAGCAATGTTATCCTTGGGTAATCAAACATGACTGCCTGGAAAATCACCGACAAAAATGGAGGTTTTTCTCGCTGGGAAATTTTTATCTATCAATGGGGGATTTCCAGGTGCCATATTTCCGATGGGTCAACCAGCTCAACCGTCAAGTCTTGATCAGGTATGTAGTTCATATCTTGTGGGACGGGTAGAGGAACCACAGATTGAACAGTGTTGAAGAGTTTTTCCAGGCTGTCTCTTTGGATGATTTGTAGTACTTTCCAGGTCAAAAGATTTATGATATTCATTGCTTGAGGCTGGAACATATTCATGGGCCCTGGTTGAAATAGAATGGCTAGCTCAAGCACCAAGCAGATGGGGACATCAACGATTTGTTGATCATGTTCTGATCGTTAAATCCCAAATGTTTACATAAATCCCAATATATTCCAATCATTCTATCCATGTCCATTGCTCAAACAACCATTTTTTGACGGTAAAACAGTAAAGAAAGAACAATTGGAGTGTGATTTAACCAATGTCAGAGAATGTGTAATATTTGTTGATAGTTTCTAATTTTTATCTCCCACATATTTTTGATCATGATGCCAAGAATTTGATGATACATAATTATATAAATCCCACAAATTTTACAATATTTCTATGATTTCTATGTCAAGCCATGTAATATGACAATCATTCCATATAAAATCATTCAAAATCCCAGCCAAAATAATCCTCCCACGGCTGCGCAGGGCTTCCCCGAAGGCGAAACTGGCGCAGAGTTCTTTGAGCGCATCGTGCAGGGGCTGCGAGACGCAGCACGCTTGGGGAAGGCCTGGGATTCATGGAGCAAAGCTAAGCCCTTCATAGATTTAGGATGATCTAGGGTTGTTTTGATTTGTTTTGGGGTTTCAATAGGGTCAGTTTAGGGTTAATTTAGCGTCGGTTTTAAGGTGAAATCCATGGATTCAACGGGAGATGTAACCGGCAAGATGATAAGAGTGGGGAACGGGCTTTACCAAGCAGGAACAACATATCAAGAAATATAGGTGAATTACACTCTATCCCCAGTTGACTGACAATTTCATGGGATTTAACAAAAAAAATCATGTTGAGTGTGTGCTTGTTTGCCTGTCAAACTAATATTATGATATATTATGGTGGTATTGATATAGGTGATAAATTATTGTTGATTGATTTCAGCGGGTATGCTATATAGGAGCAATTAAATTAGCCCCATGAATTAGGAATCCGGTTCTCAACCAACCAGGATTAAATGGAACAACAGAGGGTTTTGATTAAACACTTTTCACACGGATATTTTTTACCAATGGACCAATAGTTTATAGTGTTTTGTCTAGCATATTCGGATATATTTGGAAACAATAATACGGAAACCTTAAAATGGCAAATTCCGATAGCAAAGTTATATATAACTGTTCATCATATTTTGGTTGGTCAATTGGTCGAATTTGGGATTCAACCAATCAAACTTTGAGAACTTTAACCGCCCTAATTGGAGGATATGACCTTGCACCGTAGCGAAACAACTCTGGCATATTCTTGCATCATGTTTTCCACGGAATGTAGCTTCTGTGGATTACACCACCAGATCGTTGACTTTGAAGCCCTTAAAATTGGTGATTTGACCTACATTTTCGGCCAAAATAAGGGCTGTTCACATGTCGATGACATTTGGGATGTTGCATTCGGCAATAATTTATTTCCTCAAAAACAAGTCTGCCTGGTGGACCAGGCCGTGGTCGTGGTTGCCCATGGTGGTCTGCCACTTGGCAGAGTTTTCCAGATGGGATTTGAACATTTGAACCATCTAGAATGGGGTCATTATGGGTAGTATTCTCGGTATTTCATAGGTAATATACCCAGCATGATGATGTGGTTGCTGGTTTCATACTGTTCATCTTCAACTACTATATGGGTATGGGTCAAGCCATTTTTCAGACCCAGGGGACCGAGTTTCGTCTGTTCTTAACAATCGAATTATTGGGGTAAGTACCCAATTTTGATCCATAACATTTTTGGGTGATCATAAAGATGTTTCAAGCGGGGTAAGCTGATATTTCTTCAAGAGTCCATGGCTATGTGGGACTGGTATTTGAATTCATGCACTTGATTGATTTCTTTAATTTGTTTAAGTTTAAACTACCAACCAGGGATTGATTTAGGTGCCGCGGATTGGGTGGACTTGCCGGTTGTCGGGTCACAGACTGTGGCGTCCTGCAGGCAAGAAATGGGTGGTTTCATAAAATGGGGGTACTCCAGATCATCCACGTCATTAGACAATTTTAGTTTTGAAAACCCATGGTGACTTGGGTCAGCGGCAAACATGGGTCTCCAATCCACCTTGAATGAGAATTACAAGCAACAAACGTGGGTTATTTTATCACGCAGGTTTGTATCATGACGTATTCAACGAAAGAACAAACTTATTGCTGGTCTTTCAAAGGTTAGCTACATTTTACTGATTGGATTAAGGCCATACAATTTGATAAAGTTGTTAAATGCTGGCAAGGGATCAACAAACCGCCATGCAAGACATCACCATTGATGGGGGCCGTGAGGGAAACCCCCCAAAAAGATGCCGAAAAGTATGCAACCAGGGTTCGTTCGTCCTGTTTGGTCATCCTTCCCAGGCAGGAAAACCCAAGGTTTTCCCACTATGCTCAGACCCATATCCCATTGATCCCATTGATCCCAGGATACTTCCTAGAATTCTTGGTGATATCCTGACTGGTTGGTGGTTTGGAACATTTTTTATGTTCCATAATATATGGGATAATCCTTCCCATTGACTAATATTTTTCAGAGGGGTTGAAAGCACCAACCAGTTACTGATTCGTGTATATCTCCTGAACATGAATGCCTCTGAATTCAGCATGGTTTCCCGTAGATTCTCCCTGGCAAAAACTTCTGTTCTTAAGATAGGTTGCTGGTTGATTGTTGCCCTTAAGATAGGGATATAAATGATTATATAATAACGCCTACTATTAATCACATCCCCTGAAAATATTACCAGTACGGCTGGTTACCTTCTGGTTATTTAACGTAGCAATGGAAAATCATCTATAAATGGGCAATGTTCATCCATATTCCAAAACTTACTCTTAGAATCATCCTTAAAAAACACTGGTTTCCTGTAGATTTTCCCTTATATAAATGGTCCATATTCATATATGGGTATGGATCAATACCTATTAATACCATTTTTAGGGGGATGAACATCCATTTACCAGCTATTTTGATGTTCACCAGGGGTACAAGGTTTTGACACACTGCCACATATTCATGGTATTTTATGGATATAGTCATCCCACCAATCCCCAAAATCGGTGCTCTCCTTCTGTCCGACCAGGATCCGTTGGTCCGCCGCACAGATGGCCAGCTCGCAGGAGGAAGCCAAGCGATTGGTGAAGTCGCCGTGCCATGACGTGGATGATTTGGATTAACCCTACTTATTTCAATTATGGCTGGGGTTATTACCCACTTACTAAGTGGGGTTCCATTTATGGCTGGGGTTATTACCCACTTACTAAGTGGGGTTCCATTTATGGCTGGGGTTATTACCCACTTACTAAGTGGGGTTCCATTTATGGCTGGGGTTATTACCCACCCACTTACTAAGTGGGGTTCCATTTATGGCTGGGGTTATTACCCACTTACTAAGTGGGATTCCATTTATGGCTGGGGTTATTACCCACTTACTAAGTGTGGTTCCATTTATGGCTGGGGTTATTACCCACTTACTAAGTGGGGTTCCATTTATGGCTGGGGTTATTACCCACTTACTAAGTGGGATTCCATTTATGGCTGGGGTTATTACCCACTTACGAAGTGGGGTTCCATTTATGGCTGGGGTTATTACCCACTTACGAAGTGGGATTCCATTTATGGCTGGGGTTATTACCCACTTACTAAGTGGGATTCCATTTATGGCTGGGGTTATTACCCACTTACTAAGTGGGATTCCATTATGGATGGGGTTATTACCCACTAAGTGGGATTCCATTTATGGCTGGGGTTATTACCCACTTACTAAGTGGGGTTCCATTTATGGCTGGGGTTATTACCCACTTACTAAGGTGGGTTTCCATTTATGGCTGGGGTTATTACCCACTTAAGGGGATTCCTTTATGGCTGGGGTTATTACCCACTTACTAAGTGGGATTCAATTTATGGTGGGGTTATTACCCACTACTAAGGGGGATTACATGTAGGGCTGGGGTTATTACCCACTTACTAAGTGGGATTCCATTTATGGCTGGGGTTATTACCCACTTACTAAGTGGGGTTCCATTTATGGCTGGGGTTATTACCCACTTACTAAGTGGGATTCCATTTATGGCTGGGGTTATTACCAACTTACTAAGTGGGATTCCATTTATGGCTGGGGTTATTACCCACTTACTAAGTGGGATTCCATTTATGGCTGGGGTTATTACCCACTTACTAAGTGGGGTTCCATTACTAAGTGGGATTCCATTTATGGCTGGGGTTATTACCCACTTACTAAGTGGGGTTCCATTTATGGCTGGGGTTATTACCCACTTACTAAGTGGGGTTCCATTTATGGCTGGGGTTATTACCCACTTACTAAGTGGGATTCCATTTATGGCTGGGGTTATTACCCACTTACTAAGTGGGGTTCCATTTATGGCTGTGGTTATTACCCACTTACTAAGTGGGGTTCCATTTATGGCTGGGGTTATTACCCACTTACTAAGTGGGATTCCATTTATGGCTGGGGTTATTACCCACTTACTAAGTGGGGTTCCATTTATTGGATGGGTTATTACTAATTACTAAGTGGGATGCCATATGGCTGGGGTTATTACCCACTTACTAAGTGGGGTTCCATTTATGGCTGGGGTTATTACCCACTTGCTAAGTGGGGTTCCATTTATGGCTGGGGTTATTACCCACTTACTAAGTGGGGTTCCATTTATGGCTGGGGTTATTACCCACTTACTAAGTGGGGTTCCATTTATGGCTGGGGTTATTACCCACTTACTAAGTGGGGTTCCATTACTAAGTGGGATTCCATTTATGGCTGGGGTTATTACCCACTTACTAAGTGGGGTTCCATTTATGGCTGGGGCTGGGGTTATTACCCACTTACTAAGTGGGGTTCCATTTATGGCTGGGGTTATTACCCACTTACTAAGTGGGATTCCATTTATGGCTGGGGTTATTACCCACTTACTAAGTGGGGTTCCATTTATGGCTGGGGTTATTACCCACTTACTAAGTGGGGTTCCATTTATGGCTGGGGTTATTACCCACTTACTAAGTGGGGTTCCATTACTAAGTGGGATTCCATTTATGGCTGGGGTTATTACCCACTTACTAAGTGGGGTTCCATTTATGGCTGGGGTTATTACCCACTCACTTACTAAGTGGGGTTCCATTTATGGCTGGGGTTATTACCCACTTACTAAGTGGGGTTCCATTTATGGCTGGGGTTATTACCCACTTACTAAGTGGGGTTCCATTTATGGCTGGGGTTATTACCCAATCATGATTCGTGGGAAGAGCCACAAGTACAATAATTATATCGAAAACACGTCCGTTTTCTGGGTCCATTTTTCACTCTTCAGTGGCCCTAGACCCACTGCGACCTCGGCTCTGAGGATCGTTAACTGTTGCTGCTCAACTTTGGTCTATGACCATGACTGCAGCGGATGTGGACGGAGATGCCAAGTCATGTTGAGATGCCAAAAATCACCACTTTTTGGAAGAACACATACATTTAGACATACGCATATCATAGATAGGCAAAATGGTTTCATCAATTTACATAATATATATATATATACATAGATATGCACATGTATCTGTGGAAAATTGGAGAGTACAATTTCTTATGTGGAAGCCAAAGAGCTCAAAGTTTGGGCTGGCATTTCCGACGTAGCATGGACCATGTTTTAATGAAGCAAAAAGCCCAAAGTTTGTGAAAAGGCGTGAGCTTTCCAATTAGTTGTATCTGTAGACATGAAGGGTTTTGCAACATTGGTGGATCTTTGTTTGTAATTGTACAGCATCCACAAACCCAGACAATCGAAAGGAAAAAACTGCGATGATCTGTTGCAGCCTGTGGCTCTGTTGCTTTCAGCTCGGTTGTTCAAGCCTAGTTTAAGCACCATCATGTAAATCCAGATTATTCGGAACTACTACATAGCACCCACAAAAAATGGATAGTTCAGTGTCATGGTAAGAATGATCAGACATGTGTGAGTCCAGAACGGTTCCCCGTTTGAGATCAACATACCCTGGCTACATGTACTGGATTGGAACTGCAGGTCAAAGAATTCCTTCAAAATTCAAAACAAAACCATGTTCCATCAATTTATAGCCTATAATATTATATAATGATATATATATATATATATATAATTATATAATTATATATATGATATATGTGTGTGTGACCTTATGTGTATTTTTGCCATCATTGTTCATCCATTTTTCACGGCCAAAATTGGTCACTTTCTCTTCTTGCCAGTGGGCTGAAAGGACCTGGACCTGTTTACGGCCGAAGAGTGGTTCGTGGACCTGCAAAAAGCAGGAGGAGCCCTGAAATCTACGGAAAGGGGCCCAGAAATGGGAATTAAACTTGAAAAAATAAACTCTGGCGCTATCCCCAACAGCTTGAAAGCTTCTGCGTATTTGCCATAAAAAGTGCTTATGCCATAAAAATTAAGCGCTTATGCCATAAAAATTACGTGCTTATGCCATCAAAAACATCGGAATCCTTTGGAATTTCACAAAGCATCTGCACCAGAACCCTCCGGAACCTCACAAGGTATCTGCACCGGAACCCTCCGGAACCTCACCAAGCATCTTCTCCGCCAAAACTTAAACCCTCCAGAACCCCACAAGGTCGAAACCCTCCGGAACCTCACCACGCATCTTCACCTAGACCCTCCGGAACATCATCAGGTAGCTGCACCGGAAACTTACGGAACCTCACAAGGTACCTGCACCAAAACCCTCTAGAACCTAACCGCGTATCCTCCGGAACTTCACAAGGTAGCTGCACCGGAAACTTCCGGAACCTCACAAGGTATCTGCACCGGAACCATCCGGAACCCTCCGGAACTCACAAGGCATCTGCACCGGAACCTCCGGAACCACACAGAACCCTCTGGAGCCTCAGCAGGTATCTTCACCGGAACCCTCCGGAACCTCACGGGTTATCTGCACCAGAACCCTCCGGACCTTGTCCGGAACCTGGTGTTGAAGCTGCACCGGATCGCACCGGAGCTAATCTGGGCTAAAGACCCCATAGCAAAGTTTTGTTGTTGGGGAAAAACATGGTTTCACTTGATGGGATAACCATGGGATATGAGGGGATGAATTGCGGATAGGCATTTCCCCCATCGGTGGAAAAATTGATGATTGCCGTTTCCTAAACGATTATTGTACTTGATGACAATCAGACATGTTTTTCCATCTCACAGAGCCCGCCGGAGTTTGGGATTTTGGAACAGAATCGCGCTGCACTCCTGGGCAAGAGTCGGTGTATGTCGGGTGCCATGGAAGTAGATAGCTCGAACCATGGTAAGATTTTTTAGAACCCCTGTTGTTTTGAATATGTTTGCAAATGATTCCAGATATGTGAAAAATCATCATCTCTCGTGTGCTCCGCAGTTCCACTTCAGGATTGAAGGCCAAGGATGATACCGGCTGAGGGTGGTGTCCCGTTGGGGCTCCGCAGCCACTAATTTTTTCCAACGCAATGGTTACATGGCTAAAGTTGGCTCTGTTGTCCCAGAAAAGTAGAACATAGTAGAACCACACATTTGGTACGTTGAGTAGAGACTCATCCAATGTTTGAGGTCAATCATTTTAAGCAGACGGTAAAGTGCAATACAGTGCAGTGTATGATGTCGGCATGCACCCAACGCAAGGGTAGGACATCGAATGCATTCTGGAAGGTGTTAGATGTTCATCGCAATGTTTGAAAGTTCGAACCATATTTCCCGGTTTATTGAAACCTCCAAGAAACGATCATTTGATACTGTTGGTGGACAAAACCACCCAATTTACTATGTTTGCAGAGGGCAATCCCAAGGTTTCTTCCGCGGAACTTGATGGACCGCCTATCATCAGTATCTTTTGATTTGGCCAAGTCTCTCCCAGAATCGGTTCAAGGGAAAAATTGAAGAACAGGAACAGATGCAGCATCTGATATAATGTGTATATATATATATATATATTGTGGTGGTGTAAAACTTAGTGGAGACCTCAATATTAACCAACCGACCCACTTGTAACTTCTATTAACCAACCATTCATAGTGATGGAGAATGGTTTCCCTTGAAACGGCCAGTGATAGCGACGATAGCCACCAGTCACCCAAGGTGACAGACACGCGGTGGTTGCAGCAAAAGATTATCGTTGCTAGGGTGAAATGCCTGGAAAATTATTCCAGAATTCCAAAATTTGGTTATATAGTCTGTGCTTATCTATATGTTCATTTCTTAGGTTTGGACTGGTTTGGGAAATTTTGGGAATTGTAGTCATATAATATATTTGCATATATCATATATTTGCCTTGTTGGACCCATTTTGGCTGGAAATGCTGGTTCAAGGACAAGGATGCAAAATGTCAGAGACAACTGGTTTCTTCCAGGCCCCTAGTTCGATCCATTTATCATTTTAAGCGGGTCAGACTTGAGGGTAGCATGATGTACAAGTAGCTTACAATATAGATTTTACGTACTTAGTCCTAGCCAAGGTATTGCCAATAGGTACTTGCAAGTGTCCATTTTGACATTGCACACTCTCAAACCAGTGGGTATTGTTCTTCTGAAATGAACTCATTGATAGGTTGAATGCGAAATTAACTGGCATAGTCAATTTAGAGACATCATTAAAGCTGGCATTACCAGCCACAACCTTCCAAGATCTCTTCTCAGGCTTCAATTTGTGTTCTGCAGTCGGCATCACTTGTAAGTTTCTGTTTTTTTTAGATCCCAATCAGATTATTGCTTCAACCCCCATTTATTCTCCCACTGAATATCGAGGCAATGGAACGCTGCCCATGGCATATGGCGTTGGGCCCCCAGTACTTGGGAATGGTCACCAACACAAAATGTGGTTTTTAAACGACACAAAATGATGGGGATGGAGATTGGGGATGGTCACCAACTTACGATAGTTATTATATGTTATTATGATTTTGATCTGTCTGAAAATGGTTTGTATACTCCCAATTTATTGCCATTGTAACAGGGAACATGATCATGTATGTCGTCCGGCATGTGATATATATGCACTAGTTCACGCTATCTTGTAGCCAACACAAGTCTGACTATATGTTTCATTTTTTTGCGGAAATGCCAAGATCATCGCCAATACTATCCCTCGTATAGGTATGTCTGGAAATAGGGAATCCGAAAAGGGGATAGTTGATGATAATTTTCCCCATTGAATGGTCATGCCACTATTCATTGGTGAAATCCCTTTTTCTGATGGTTGAATATACATATATATATATGTTTGATATTTAAGTCATTATTGCTCATGGCGAAGTCCCCATTTTGCTTGGTTTGTCATATCGTCATATCCCCTTCAATCAGTGAATCATCCCATGATCATCCCATCACCTGAGCCCCAGATCTTCGGGCCTCAAAATTCCTGGCTGCAGAGCTCCCAAGCCCAGTCGGTATGGATCCCAAGATTCACAGATCAAGGGATTAAAGGATGAACGAACTGAAGAGTAGAACTAAAACCCTATGTTTCTGGTTGGTGATTTGGAACCATGGAATTTTAATGAATTTTATGTTTCCATATATTGGGAATAACATGGAATAACGATCCCAGCTGACGAACTCATATTTTTCAGAGGGGGTGGAACCACCAACCAGGTGTTCTTGTCGCTATACATCAATGGGCTTCAACGGGATTTCACCATCAATGGGGATATCATGTGATATAATAGGGATATACTTACTGAAACCAATAATACCCTCGTGTGTCCTCAAACATGGCTGACAATAGACAATCCTCGAACTAAACGGAGGTTTCTTGCTGGGAGAATCCTCGAAGTAAATGGTGGATTTTCAATTGATTACCGGAGGGGAAATGGGATTCAACGAGATTTATATACCACCTAAAGGAAATGGATTCTCTGCAGGGTATGTCATATGTGGAACGTGAAAATACATGGACATTTTAGCAATGGGCATCATGCCCGGCTGGAGATGAAATTATTTGCTGAGTAGGACATAGATTGGCCATGTCTAACCAAATAAAAACCATCAAAAAATTGCATGAAAAAGTTGGAAGCAAAAATCAATGGATTTGCTATCTACTTGGACCTTGCAAGTGTAAGAGGTTGAACTCTGCGGCAGTCTGTCCAAAAACACGGCACTCCAAAAGCCTGTGGAGTTTCACCTGATTTCACTATTTTTTCCCATGGATTTTTGACATGTGATGATCCCCTGGTGGTGGCACTGGTGGTCTAGTCCCCGGGCCCAGGCTGCAGGGCGTTTGAACATCGCTCCCAGCACGTTGGCCTTGAAATGGGCCGAGTACAAAGGCGCCAGCTCTTCACCAGCTATGAGTATGCTTGGTGACATCCTTACTACAACCTTATTATAACTTCACTATGGCCAACTATAGCCTATATCCTTGCTATACTGTATCCTTTCTCCTTGGTGGTTTCACATGTTTACCTGTTTGTTAGACCATACAAAAGTGATGATTAGGTTGAGATGACCGCAGAATATATTATGGGCTTGGGTCAATCATTGTTTATGACACTTAGGGGACCCTAATTTTGACTCATACCCACATTGGGAGTTCATTGAAATAAGTGACCCCAATATACATCTTGAAACATGATGCTGTTTAATTGGAACAACAATTGGTATGGGGTCCCCCATTTTAAAAAGCCTGGGTTTAGCAAAAGATTGGGGAAATACCAGCTCCATTTCCAAAGACAGACGGGTGCTTTTGGAGGCTGTGAGAACTATATTGTCAAGGAGATTCACCCAGGGTTTTTATCATGGGATTTGAAAAGGGTCATGTTCAATAGACATTTTAAACCTAGATAAAGAATGTCCGTCTCCAAACCCACATGGTTTGGAGGCGTCCATCTGCTTTAAAAACACTGTCCCTAAATGTCCCTGAATGCGTTCCTTCAAAGGGTTCTTTCAATCTCCTCAGTTTTCCTTCAAATCACATGGGACTCAAGATCTTGTGTCCAGAAACTGTTTGGGTGCTTTTTTTTTGTGTATCAATATGTATCAATACTAAATTTCTCTGCCCGGGACGATTTTCCTATAGCTCCTTTGTGTTTCGCTCTTTTTTGCTCGTCAAAAGCACCAGAAAAAGCCGTTTTTTTTTGCGCATCTCGAAATTCCCGTGCAGCTGCAGCAATCCGTGCAGGTTTCTTGGCCTTAGTTCCAGATTTACAAGATCTCTTTGCGCCTGGACCTTGCCAGATCGATTTGGGGCCTTGGGGCCTTGGGGTGCCAGATTCGACCACTTTTTTAGCCACGGCTGATTGTGGTTTCAATCTCAAGGTAAAACATTGTAAAACATGGTAAAACGGAATACATGAACATATCATCAGCAACTATGAGTCTATCAGTAACCTTGCGCAACCATAGCGGTGTTATAGCTGATCCGTGATGGATTTTTACAGAACTGAGTGCGCGGTACCACTTGGCAAAATGTTCATCCAAGTATGATCCAGATCACGTTTTGACATTTGGACCCAACCATATGCAACCCTGTCAGTTTTTTTTGTTTAGGGTCAGTTGTTTGACCTTTCATGTTGATACCATAGAGCTTTGGGATCATTCGTATATGCGATGATGCCCAGTGACGTCTTCAGGGGTTGAATCCTGTCATGAGTTCTTGGCATTCTGACTTCTGATACGATTATATAACCATGATTAAACCATATTAAACCAGTGTCTCAACAAAACCACCAAATGACTCAAGGGGCTTCAACCAACCCCCCATTTTGGTGACTCCCCAAATGACAAAGGTTGACTCAAGGGGCTTTATATATTACGTAGCAACCATTATTAGAGGATATTAGAGGCTTGTTGATCATCAACACCCCATATTGCCCAAACATCTTTGGATGATTGGATGTTTGTTAATCACCCACCACACGTCCACTGTATCTGAATCAACTGGCATTTTGCCGCGAACTGGCCACCCTTTTTTTGGGGTCGTTTCTTTCAGGTCGGAAGTTCCTGTGGAACATCGCAGTTTCATGCGCCTGTGCGCCGTGTTGACGGAGTGGTGTTCCTGGCATGGGCTGTTCACTGGGTTTTTGACTTGCTTTGACCCCATTCCTATGTGCAATCATCTTGGGTAATCCATGGTAATCCCTTCCCTTACATTGATATTAGATACCCCCAGAAACCATAGTTTAGTATTGATGTATTGGATGTGTTCTTTTTAGATGCCCACAGGGAGATTTTGTATTGGGTGGCGGGATTGGTTCGCCTATTTTGACTTGGAATAAACACTAGTAAAGAATACTGGTCATAATGTACATTTAAAAAAACTGCTGTGCTATATGAACAGTATATGAAATTATATAAATACAATTACACTTGTACTGATATATATATATATATACAGTATATATAGCAGCTATGGGCAACGTGGAAAAAAATCTTCGTCCTCAGAGGTATCGGGCAGCACCCTCGGTTGAGGCGGCGCAGATATCTTCCGGAAACGACGTGAGCCCAATAAAAAATGGAGCCCTGTTGATGGTTCATGTAGGGGGATATGTGCTTAATATATGTTAATACAATATATAGTTTGAAATACTCAGTATATCTGTTGATTTGTTAGTAATTGTGGTTTCCAGGGATATATCATGATATATCCACAGATTTTTCATAAGTGCTTTATTGGCAAATTGGGGATTCTTACTGGATGGGATCTCAGAGAAGTAAGGCCTTGTCGGCTTTACGGCTGTTGATTTATTTGGAGGCATACTAGGAGACTGGTAAAAAACACCATAGGTTCCAAGAAGCGTGCCTTAAATCAATCCCAAATGCTCCATGTATATGAAATATTCTGAAATCTCTACGAAGATTTAGCCCTAGAGTGACCCAAACGTATCAACATGTAGGTGAATATGCCATACATTAAGCATATGGGGCAACCAGCCCATGAGAGAAATTATAATGATTTGCGCAGAATAATTGGGTTGAACTCAAGAGAACCTGAGGGGTTTAAGGATTGAACATGCGAGAGGTGTGATCAAAAAATGTTTCTCTACCAACATGATTATGAGTGAGTAATAAATGGAATGTGAACAAGCAAAGATGGAATATGAACCAGCAATAATTGAGGATTCCCTGGGTAGACTGACTGGTGGAATATATTGTTTGATGTATCTTAGCTGCCATGAACAAAGGCCTTTATATAATTTTCTTATCAACACTTTCTTTGTTGGTTGCAGAGTATATGTCGTGTTCTCCGTGTAGTCGGCACAGAAACTGCGAATTCTCATGAGGAGGTTACCTTCGAGGGCCTGGTGGAATCCCTATGAAAGGAGACGATTGCCACGTTAAATCACCAGAGGTATTACACTGTAAGGGCCTCAGTTGAAGAGATGCCCTTTGGATTTGATCTTTTAACAAAAGATTGAACAACACATTAGACTGCATTGATGTAACGTTGCTTCTAACTGATAGATGGATAAGATTCGCGCTGTTCATAAACTGGTTGTTTGTGGTGAAGATCCAAATATCCCATTTTTGTTGGTGAAGTCTCACTGGTTCAGGGCTCACGGTATCCCATTGAAAGTATTACCGAGTAGTCAAACGTGGTTTGCTGGTAAATATCCCATTTAGTTCGTTGTTTTTCCCGTGGTATAGGACCTCGATTCTAGCTTGGGGATTTCCCAGCCAGCTATATTTGATTACCACATTAGATATTGTATTATAATTACTATATACAATATACAGTACATTCCCATTATATTCCACTTAATGTTCGTAAATCAATGTCATAAACCAGCCATATGTTGATGGTTTTAGAACCCATAAGCATGGTGATTTTGGGGATGGTTTACCCGCCACCAGATCTGTAGCTCGGTGCTGTGGGGCACCACTGGCGTGATCCCAGAGGTGCGGCTCCCGAAGAATGGTTGAACCATGGCCATGTTGACTAAGCTACAAAAGATGTGGGCTTGGAAGGGTTTGGCATGGTTGAGCCATTTAAGAAATATTGGTTTTAGATTGTTTAAGATGGTTTAAGATGTTTAGGATAGTTTAGGTGCCACGACCGTTGAACTTTGCGTATCTTCAGAAAGGGGTTGAGCATCTAGAGGTGCAAGGTGGGTGTAGAGATCGCAAACAATGTCGGGCCTCACTGGCCGACCAAACCCCGCCAGTGACAGTAAGTAAGGGAAATATTTCTCGGCTTGAGTCGGGCGGGTTGCGACTTTTCCATACTTTTCTAAGAATTTGCCTATAGATGATTATATAGAATGCCCTAAACGTTGCGACTGATTTGCCAGAAATGGGTGGTTGTACAAAGCAACATACTCCAGCTGGAGGGAAAAATGTTGGTGTTTCATGGTGTTACCCGCCATCCAGATACTGGATGACGCCCACTTACGGGAGACAGTGGGATGCCATGATTTGAATTTGCCGGGTTAAATCCCAATCCATCCCCATTTCATTAGCAATTCCAATTTATTGTTTTTTTCATGTGTTTTTTTCGTTCCAACCACCAAGCACATTTATTCGATTTATCCTTCAAGTTTATAGACGTCTGCCTGCAGAGATTTATCGATGCTTGGCTTCTCTCCGAATCTCGTGACTGGATGATTTGATGGCAATGGAAATGGAGCAGTTTGGAATTTGGAGGAAGATGAGACCACCAAGTGTGAAGCTACTGGCAGCGTTCCACCGCGGTTTTTTCAACTGGAGATGGCGATTTACCACTTACCAATATTAATCTGGTTGGTGGTTTCAAAAAATGTTTCCCCAATATATGGGCTAATCCTTCCCATTGACTAATATTTTTCAGAGGGGTTGAAACCACCAACCAGTAATTCTTCTTCTTTTTCTCCATGATTATATCAATTTACAGTAAAAACACACATAGGAACCACTGAAAAAAACTGATTGATACAAGAATATAGAAACCAGGAGCCCTTTGCAAAATCAATCAGTAGCTCCAAAGGATTCATTTACCATGTCCAATCCGCTCCGCTGCAGGTGCTGACTACCCCCCGAGCGAGGCTTAAACGGCGCTGCCGTTTTCCGGCCGATGGATCTTTCAACTCCATGATCCTGTACCCTCTGGTGATGACTAACATAGCTTTTGAACATGGCCCATGTATAGATGATTTACTTATTAAACATGTGATTTTCCATAGCTATGTTCAATTACCAGAGGGTATTACTTTTGCATCCCGAGTTGACAATTGCTTTTTAGTGGGTCGAAGTAAGCAAACAAGCCTCCCAAATGCGACTTTGCAGCAGCTCACTTTCATGTGGAAAATCAGGGCTGAAAGGTACACGGTTGTATGAGCTCCTTGTAGGGTGGTTGTCCAAGATTGGGCTATGCCCGAAAAAGATCCCAATTATTACAGGGAGAATGATGATACAGTCAGTTGGAATTGGGGTACTCCAGCTTCAGACAAACCTAATGGAAGTGCTGACGATCGAACCTCATCAGATAGAAAGAGTTCCCAACAAGAATAGCCCCCCCCTGATCATCCAAAATGTCAGACGTGACGCAACTGGATCCTTGTTGGAACTTCAAAACCAAAAGGTCCTAGCATTTACATTATGTATGTATATAATATATATATATATGTATATATATATATATACATTGTATGACTGTGTGTATAATATACATTTATAGTCAGTGTATTTCTATATCCATCCGTGTATATCCGTGTGCTGCGTGTGTATATATATATATATATATAATATACAAAATGTAAAAATCTAGGAATTTCGGAATTAACGCAGGCCTGACGTTTAGAAGGTCTCTCTAAAGGAGATCTTTCTTTCTTCCACATCCTGATGGTCAGCCGCAGCCGCGACTGCCACCAGGGTAGCTTCTCCAAAACTGTGCCGCTCCAAGGACAGCAAGTGGTGCCATCTAATGTTCTCTGGCTATCCTCCAGTGTCATCAAACATGGCAAGCTGGGAAACCCCCTATCATCACAATGTACGAATCATGGTAGTCCTCCCGTGAAAAGTCCCGTGAACCTTGGGACATTGACCATGTTGGATGTTGGTCAACATATGTCAACATTGACCGTCCAGAAAACAGGGAACCACCGGGAACCGCAGCAAACCATCGGTATCATCCCAATCAACGGAGTTCCAATGCCTGACACATATTTGCTGCTAGATAAGATACCCCCTATGTTTCAACAGCAACAAGATGCAGCCCACGAACCCGAATGCTCACACGTATGTTAATGGTACAGATGTCGAAACACATGGATATGCAGTCACGCAGAAGACTTTTCTGCAATAGTTGCTTTGAACAGTCTTGTACATATATATATATATATTTCCCCTGTTACCAGTCTGCAGTGTGGAGTGGAAAGCGTAGAGTGTGGAGTGTGGAGTGGAAAGTGTAGAGTGTGGAGTGTGGAGTGTAAAGCAAGGAGTGTGGAGTGTAAAGTGTGGAGTGGGGAGTGTAGAGTGTGTAAAGTGAAGAGTGTGGAGTGTGGAGTGTAGAATGTAGAGCCTAAAGTGTAGTGTGTGGAGTGTAAAGTGTACGGTGTGGAGTGTAGTGTGGAGTGTAGTGTGGAGTGTAGAGTGTGGAGTGTGGAGTGCAAAGTTTGGAGTGAGGAGTGTACAGTGTAAAGTGAAAAGTGTGGAGTGTAGAGTGTGAGTGTAAGGTGTGGAGTGTAAAGTGTAGAGTGTAAAGTGTAGAGTGTGGAGTGTAAAGTGTGGAGTGTGGAGTGTGGAGTGTAAAGTGAGGAGTGTGGAGTGTAAAGTGTGGAGTGAGGAGTGAAAAATGTAAAGTGTAGGGTGTAGAGTGTGGAGTGTAAAGTGTGGAGTGAGGCGTGTGGAGTGTGTAAAGTGTAGATTGTGGAGTGTGGAGTGTAGAGTGTAAAGTGTAGAGTGTAAAGTGTAGAGTGTGGAGTGTAGAGTGTGGAGTGAGGAGTGAGGAGTGCAAAGTGTGGAGTGTTAAATGTAAAGTGTGGAGTGTAGAGTGTAGAGTATAAAGTGTAGAGTGTAAAGTGTAGAGTTTGGAATGTGGAGTGTAAAGTGTGGAGTGTGGAGTGTAAAGTGTGGAGTGAGGAGTGATGAGTCTAAAGTGTAAATTGTGGAGTGTGGAGTGTAAAGTGTAGAGTGTGGAGTGTGGAGTGGAACGTGTAGAGTGTGGAGTGTAAAGTGTGGAGTGAGGAGTGTAGAATGTAGAGCGTAAAGTGTAGAGTGTGGTGGAGTGTGGAGTGTAGAGTGTGGAGTGTGAGTGTAGAGTGTGGCGTGTAGAGTGTAAAGTGTGGAGTGCGAAGTGGAAAGTGTGGAGTGTAAAGTGTAGAGCTGGCGGAGTGTGGAATATAGAGTGTGGAGTCTAGAGTGTGCAGTGGAAAGTGTAGAGTGTAAATTGTGGAGTGCTTTGTTGCGCCAGCCACACACAAGAATTTTCGACACGGTATAAAACAGGTTGGAATGTCACAAATTGCCACGCCTGCCACGCAAAACGACATGACAACCTGCTTGAAAACCTTCGAAAAGGAGAGGTTGTGCAGCTTCCCCCATAGACACGGCGACGCCACAGGAAAACCAGAGACTCGAGACGAGACACGTGGGCGCACCAAAACGAGCATTTCGTGCAAGACTTCCTCCAATTTTCACACTTTGTAGCGACGTTTTCCTACGAGTTTTCTCAGGAACCTGAAATTTTGCTATATCAAAATCGATGTGTCGTGCGAGGCGTCCGTCAATTTATTTCAGCACATCTCAGAAAATGCCACGCCTGCCAGGGAATCTGCACCTTGTCGCCACTTGACGCAGCCCTGCCAATGCAATTTGCAAAAAACACGCAACACGACACGTCTAAAGTGCTGCGCCTGCCACGCAAAATGACGATGGACACGTCAAAAGTTCTGCGCCTGCCACGACAAATGCAACGCATCTTCGGAAAACGTCGCAAAAGTAGCACGCTTGCCACACAAAACCATTTTCGACACGTTACATAACACATCTGAATGTCACGAAGTGCCACGCCTGCCACGCGAAACGAAGCAACGAGACGTTTGAAACCTACAAAAAGCACCCCTTCTGCAGAACTTACCATAGGCACGGGCACGGCCATATAGCAATCGCGCGGACGGTTGCGAACGGTTGCGGGCTGTTTTGCGAACGGTTGCGAACGTAAACGCAACGTCGAGAGAACACACCCTCAGCTCCCAGACCCCCAGAGTGAAACGGGAACCCTTGCTACGCATTCGGGGAAAAAACACATTGAAAATGTATGAACATGAAGTCAGGGATGCATATGAACTAGAGGGGTTTCCTGGTCGTATTCTACATGTACCATATGTACCTTAAGCAATCATGAGAGTGGCCGCCCCCATTTGCATACAATTTACTCACAAACCATGGCCGTTTCCGTTGAGAATCCATGGCCGTTCAGCTTGGAATCTCCCCAAAATGGCGGTTGATTTTCCATGGTGTTGGTGAAGCCCTCGTGGTTGTTGTCTCCAAAGTGATGCCTGCAAAGTCTAAAGTGCGTGAACTGTTGGTAGTGGTTCTCCCATGCAATTCCGATGAAGGCATCTGATTGTCATATTTGATTGTCTATACTATAGTTTATATATATATATAATTATACATATATACGAACCGCTATTGGCTATGGGCCGAAATGATTGGCTGATTGACCCCAAAAGGATGGGTTTACAGAAAGGATCAACACTTTCGCGTGAAACTAGCAGCCAGATCATGTTCCTTTTCCAGAATCAGAAGGGACATTTACACGGTTTACCCAGAGCAGTTTGTAACTAAGAAAAAGTAAACCACAGAAGTCACATCCACCTTGGAATTTCATCCACCAAATGGGGAATCCATGTTCGCCGTTAAATTCCCAGGGGGATTGAGTTGCTATAAACAAAGTCTATGGTTTCCTCATGTTTCCTGCAATTGTACTTCAATCCATTCGAGTCACGAGGACTTTCAGCAGCTCATTCCGGGGCTTTGCCCCGGAGCGACGCCAAAGGCGCCCAAAAAGGAGGTGCGGCCAAAGGAGAACCCCCAATTTTGGGGGGAGGGAAAAATTGCGTGAAACCAACAGAATGTTAGAATTATTGTTCAGAACTGGGACTGAAACATACTGAAACCATCTTAAACCAGCGTTTTTCTTTGTTCCAAACAGAAATAGGGGGTGAAACCATGTGAAACCAGCCAAAAAAAAGACAGGGTTCACCTGTTAATTTCATGTCGTTAGGGAATCAAGGGAAAACCGTGGGTTTCATGATGTTTCATGGCCCGTTGGACGAGGATCCCAAAGTTCATCAACCGGTGAATTCAGAAGTTCATTTTGTTTGTCCTCATTTCCATGATTTCCATGCGCAAATTTACACTATCCCTATCTATATTTTGACATTTTGTAGCGAATGATTCTTATTTCGTTGTATGCATGATCCGGCATTACCTAGACACGGGATAGATAGAAACAAATACTCGTTGCCTACACAAAGCAGACAATCAAGCTATACGGGTTGCCCTAAAACTGTGGTGCCCACAAACCCAATGATTTTAAAACGTTATATTCCCACGTGAAAAATGCCATAAAATGGGAACCAATATGAACCAATCATCATTTGTCAGGCACAAGCCGTGAAGCAGCAGGCGAATCGGGTGGCATTGGCAATCCTCTAAAACGGGACGCGCTCGAGGTTGGCAATGGTTGATTCAACCCAGATTTCAGACCTTCCAAAGGTGTGATTTTTCTGCACAAATTATAGCGAGGACAGCCGAGGCAACGAGGCAGGTTGCAGGAATTGGCGAGGTCAGCCCTTAATTTGCTCATCAGAATTAGCCGACCTCGACGAGGTAGCCTTGCATTGGTTCTGTTGCATGCTTGGGCTTGGCTAGAAAAAGTTTTTTGGGGGCCAGAGGCCGGTCAGCAGGCAAGGAAGGAAAAAAAACTTGTCAGGCCCCAAAAAGTTTTATTTTCTATCGCCAGAGGCCGGTCAGCAGGCAAGGAAGGAAAAAAAACTTGTCAGGCCCCAAAAAGTTTTATTTTCTATCGCCAGAGGCCGGTCAGCAGGCAAGGAAGGAAAAAAAACTTGTCAGGCCCCAAAAAGTTTTATTTTCTATCGCCAGAGGCCGGTCAGCAGGCAAGGAAGGAAAAAACAACTTTTCAGGCCCCAAAAAGTTTTATTTTCTATCGCCAGAGGCCGGTCAGCAGGCAAGGAAGGAAAAAAACTTTTCAGGCCCCAAAAAGTTTTATTTTCTATCGCCAGAGGCCGGTCAGCAGGCAAGGAAGGAAAAAAAACTTTTCAGGCCCCAAAAAGTTTTATTTTCTATCGCCAGAGGCCGGTCAGCAGGCAAGGAAGGAAAAAAACTTTTCAGGCCCCAAAAAGTTTTATTTTCTATCGCCAGAGGCCGGTCAGCAGGCAAGGAAGGAAAAAAAAACTTTTCAGGCCCCAAAAAGTTTTATTTTCTATCGCCAGAGGCCGGTCAGCAGGCAAGGAAGGAAAAAAAACTTTTCAGGCCCCAAAAAGTTTTATTTTCTATCGCCAGAGGCCGGTCAGCAGGCAAGGAAGGAAAAAAACTTTTCAGGCCCCAAAAAGTTTTATTTTCTATCGCCAGAGGCCGGTCAGCAGGCAAGGAAGGAAAAAAAACTTTTCAGGCCCCAAAAAGTTTTATTTTCTATCGCCAGAGGCCGGTCAGCAGGCAAGGAAGGAAAAAAAACTTTTCAGGCCCCAAAAAGTTTTATTTTCTATCGCCAGAGGCCGGTCAGCAGGCAAGGAAGGAAAAAAAACTTTTCAGGCCCCAAAAAGTTTTATTTTCTATCGCCAGAGGCCGGTCAGCAGGCAAGGAAGGAAAAAAAAACTTTTCAGGCCCCAAAAAGTTTTATTTTCTATCTCCAGAGGCCGGTCAGCAGGCAAGGAAGGAAAAACAACTTTTCAGGCCCCAAAAAGTTTTATTTTCTATCGCCAGAGGCCGGTCAGCAGGCAAGGAAGTAAAAAAAACTTTTCAGGCCCCAAACAATTTTATTTTCTATCGCCAGAGGCCGGTCAGCAGGCAAGGAAGGAAAAAAAACTTTTCAGGCCCCAAAAAGTTTTATTTTCTATCACCAGAGGCCAGTCAGCAGGCAAGGAAGGAAAAAAAACTTTTCAGGCCCCAAACAGTTTTATTTTCTATCGCCAGAGGCCCGCTTCGTGGGTTGACGGCTGCAGAAGCAGTAGGATTCAGAGTTGCTCCAGAAGAGCATTGCATCTCTGCGATAATGTCAGAGATGTCACCACCCAAGCGCAAGAAGCGCAAAGACCGATCAGACTCAGATTTAAAAATCCCTGCAAGAGACCGTGGATCGTGGAAAAAAACTTTTCGGAAGCTGAAAAGTTTTTTTTCCTTGGGGTTGGACCCTGGAAAGAAGGCCCACAAGCTACTTTCTTCCTTCGAATTAACGAGGTAAAGCCTTAATTTGCACCTGCAAATTAACGAACGAGGACAGTAATCATGGGGAACAAATTAAGACACGAGGGAGACGAGGTAAGAATTAAAGTAATTTGGCCAGATTTTTGGCACGGTATATTTGAAGAAATTGTATGTATACACAACATTAAACCACAATCAATTTCAAACTCTTCGTGTCTGACCCATTAATAAACAGGAGCTCTGTGAAACGCTAGACTTTTTATGACTAAACAACTTCTCCAGATGCGTTTAATCTCGCCAATTTCAACAGAATGATGTTGCAGCCTCGGGGGTCAAATGTCTAAAATGTGGTTAGTTGATCTGTTTGCCGCTGCTTCGGCCCAATCGATGTCTTACTAGACTCATGAACATTCTTTACCGCTCGGAGGGTGATTTGCTGAATGCTAAGTCATTGCATTTTGGGCAGTTATTTTGAGCCATTTATCAAAATAGGTACGTTAGCTGTGATACTAAGTACCCTCTGGTAAACTAATATAGCTATGAAAAACCACCATGTTGATAGGAAAATAATCATTATTGATAAATCATATGTATATAAATGATTGTAAATTGATCCTTTTCAATAGCTACGTTAAATTACCTGAGGGTAAGAATGCATCATGTACCCTACATCTATCTCTACCTATCCCAATTTGGATGGATCATGCCAGGTAAGATGTTCCCACTTGAATTCGGGAGGACTGTTCATAAGAACCAGCTATTTTGATGTCAAAAGGGATTGATCACTAGTTGTTTTGACAGTACCGACAGTACCAAAATTCCTTGTCCCCCCATCTGCTTGGCTTTTCACTTTTATCAGCGAGTACCGCCCTTTTCACAACTAAAACAAGACTCCTTGCTGTCGAACCCCAGTCTCCGCGACTCTTGAATGTTCAACACATGTTGCCAGGTTACACCCCCCAGGTGTTCGAATGGTTGACTGGTTGACCACCCCCCATTTTTGCCGGTCAATTTTCCCTTTCGGTCCTCATCCCTGAAGCTGAGCGGTTTCAGATCTTGCCTGACTTGGTCAAGCGTGCACATCAAGGACGTCCAGGCCAGAGATGCTACTTCGGTATGCCCACTGTTGAGGTAGATGACAGGGGATGAAACCAACAGACATTTGGGGAGATATAGTGGGAATATCATGGGGATTGCACATACTGCAAAATAATTAATTGGGCAATATTGGGCATTGAATGTTGTTTTTCTGGATGAATTCTAGTGATCACTGGAATGATGGGAATTTAAGGGGAATCGTCACTATAGCTGGCTTTATTTCAGCTATTTTTTTCAGGTCGGTGACTTATGGTGAATTAATTATTTTCAGGTCGGTGAATTAATATATAATATGATTTAGCCAGACATATTTCACCATATGAATCCCATCCACCTATAGAATATGAAATCAGAACCAAAGAACCTCCCAATATGGCCCCCCAGACGAATAGATCCAATTCTCGGCCATTTGTTTCTGGATGATATTTAATATCTGGGGAAGGGATTTGATCATTTACCTACTACACTTATATATAATGTTTCCATGCAAATGTTGGCAAATACTCCATACATGGAGTATTTTGGTATGCTTTAATATCAAGCCAGGACTGATTTCTCCCAAAGGTCAAAAAAGATCGATGGTACCAGTTATAGTTATATTATTTGATATGACATTATCACTAGTCTTGGGCTACCCCCCGGCACTAATGTAGCAAGCCCCATAGTAAATAGGAGAATACCGAATGCCCAATTTCAGCTCCAACTGGGGATGGTGTGTGATTATATTATTACCCCACAAATGGCCAATCTTATTCCATGTCATTCTATCTTATTCCATTTTATTCCATTTTATTCCATAGTAATTATTTCATAATATATAATATATATACATATACATGATTGTTGATCTAAAGGTCCATATTATTCGATTGTCCGTTACAAAGGCCGCCAGGAATCCAACATGAGACCCCTGCGAAAGCGCCAAATCACCGAGTCATGTTGTGGGGCTATCCGATCCTTCAATCACTGGTTGGTGGTTTGGAACATGAATTTTATGACTTTCCATATATTGGGAATAATAATCCGTACACGTGTGCATAGGCTTCAGTCTAATAAGGACTGCTAGCGTCTCGACCCTGGCAGTGCTTCCGATAAAGTGGGATAAAGTGGTGGTTTCAAACATTTTTTATTTTCCATAATACATGGGATAATCCTTCCCATTGACAAATATGTTTCAAGATGGTTAAAACCACCAACCAGCCATGTGTTTTTTTCCATATTGTTCCATATTGGGTTTGCCTCATTCATCTAGATTTTTCGCTTCCCCATCCCACAATATCCCCCATCAATATCGATTCCAGTGATTTACCCTCTGGTAAACTAACGTAACTATGGAAAATCACCATTTTTAATGGGAAAATCCACTATTTCTATGGCCATTTTCAATAGCTATTTTGACATAACCAGAGGGTACATCAAGCTGTTCCCGTTATCATTGTAAATTACGTTGAAAAGTCATCGGGCCAGGTCATCACAGGCCATTATCATCAATACCGACACCAGGTCCATATAAGTCATGTACATATATATGTGTGTGTAATCAATATCGGACCAAGGTCATAACAATGATACTTAAATCGTTCCCTTTTCTATAATCATTATTCCCTTTACATTCCCATTTTATCACAATGGTATTTACTTTTTTAGTTAAATATAGATTGTAATTTTAACTACAATCAAAGGATACAGAATTTCTTGAATCGCTATATCCCATTCAAATTCCATCAAACACCTGTTGATTTCAATCCACATTTGCCCCTTGTGGCCCTTTCAGGTCTCGTCTGGCACGGCGAGGTGGCCAGCAAGCGGCTGCAGGTGGAAGCATCGCCTCGTCCGCTGAGCTCAGCGTTGCACGGGTAGGAGGGTAGAATTTTAGCAATGGAGAGAGCTGGCACTAATTGCGGTGTTTTTGCATTCATATATGTATTATATATTTACAGTTATATATACAGTTATATATATATTATATATACATATTATACATCGTGTAGGTGATATGTTTAAACGTCTATTTTTCAGAGAGATACAACACGAGACATTATTTGACAGTTACGCTTCCATTCATACCCATCTGTGGGGGTAATATTTTGTACGTCCATACACAATCGGTGGTTCCACCACATAGACCAGCAATCCAAATTAGTTGTTTTACCCATCTGTGGGTTGGGACTTGGAGTGTACTCATTGTTTGTTTGAAATAACATCGGCCAGGATTGTTCGTTTACACTTACATATTACATATATATAACTATATATATATAATTATATAACTATATAATTATATAATTATATAATATTAAATATGTATTCTTTATTCTTGATATATATATATATACACATTCTATTTCTTTGAATTGATATACATGCACGTATCCTAGGATGCCCACATCATATTCCGAGTAATTATTGAATGAGTTTGATCATCTTTGATCCCCGGAACCATCCACTGACTCCCCCACGACCTGAACTTGCTCAAGGAAGGTAATTTGTGAGTCCCCATTGGTTAGTCCGTTCATTGTCCACGTTTGTCAATCCACGGTTTGGGGTATATATACATAGAGAGAGAGAGAGAGCAGAAATATGGTCCGTTTTGGTGGGGTTCCTGTTTTATCCATCCCCCCAGAACGATAGCAGTTCTATCATGTTCCTTCTGGGAATATGTCCAAAAGGTATAGACATACTAGATCTAACCGGAAACACCTTTCTATTTTTGCTGGATCTGCATATCCCCCAAAAAAGTTCTATATAATCCCACGCCCTAGTATCAAACACCCCCAAAATGGTCGCCAGTATGTACAAATGCCTACTAAACCATGGTTTTTGAGGGGTGTTTAATATACTGAACGGGGAGTGGATTACAAGATGATACAAGATGACCTTACGTGTTTAAATATGTTTAATGAGTCTAAGTAGTAGAAAATTGCTTCCATTAGAAGGGATCTCCAATTTAATTCTACCTTTTTTGGGGGGCAAACATTTGCCAAACAACTTCCCAGATTTTATCCCTGCCTTGAGGTGCCGCAGGAGGAAACCACGACAGCGAGGAGATGGTGGAGGCATCAACACATGGGGTATGTTGGTGAAAACCCCGGGGGATTGGCAAACCTGGTTAAAAGATGTTAAATGCCTGGGTTCCCCCAAAAAAATTGATCACGAATCAATGTTAATCAATGTTAATCATCACGTGTGCCATTGAAAATTAGCCATTCGGGAGGACATACTCAAATAATTTGATGTCCCCCCCATGTCTCATTCAATCAAACATAATAATGTATAAACCTTCTTGACACCTCTTTCCGTCGCCGGGCTTGACCACCTGCCCCCCCTACCTTTCATACATTTGATGGAAATGTATGAACGGGGGGGGTGTATACATACGGAAGGCAGGGGGGGGTCTCAAATATACATATTAATTTGAGAACAAACCATTAAACTGGTTAAAACGACCGGTGGTTCTTGTTGGTTTTCATTCACGGGGGGGTCGAGTTTTCTATCGAAACAATGGGGACAGAGCCAGAAACAAGAAAGATGAAGAAATTATGAACACAATTATATACTGTAATGTTGTGTGCTGGGTAAAACTTGTTAATCATATAGATTCTTGGTTTACGTGGATTGTACTCCGATTGCCGCTTAACCCTCCTTGCGTTGATAAAGGATGTATTTGCAGGATGAAAAAACTCTGGATGATGAAAAAACCGCTTAAAAGGTGTGTGACAACATGCGAAGTCAAAGATGCGCACATTCTAAGTTGTACATAGTTGTACATAGTTGTACATAGTTGTGCATAGTTGTACCGTATCTGAACCAACCAAAGATCAAGGAACGTGGAAATTTTGATGTAGCCGCTTCCGAAAGGGTCTTCTGGGGGCTGGTATGACATACCACGCTTGGATCAGACTAGGTAGTGTTGAAAGGTGACCATTTGGTTGTAATTGTTGTTGATGCAAGTCTCCCCATGTGGTTTCTTGATTGTTTTTCAGGATCACCCTGTCAGCCTGTTGGTGAGATCGCTGATATCCCAATTGTGGTATTGATTTAACTTCCAGATGTCTTGCCAAAATCATTGCACCCAAAAATTGAAGAACTTCAATATCCATGCGGAAAAATCACAAGCTACAGCCTGTACATGGTTGATGTTATTTGTTGTCCCCTTGAGACTCAGCCCGTCACCTGTTGTGACGTTGCACAGTCTGACCAGAGTCCACGCCTTTTTCTAGGCAGACTATAACCTGCCATGGCCATCTGAGATGGAGGACACCGTGGGCTGCTGTCATTTTTCTTAAGAATATTTTGAATTGTCCAGCCCTAAAAATAACTGAGGTATATTCCAGTACTTACTGGATAAATCATCCATTATTTGGAATATGTTTGAATTGTGAATGGGACACTGTTTTCTGAGGTATACATAACAAAATGGATGGAAACTGCCACACTCGTATTCTTGGGTAAAAAGAGATCTCGAGTATGGCTCAACTTGTGGTTGCATGAATTTCCTCTTACTTTTGTGGTTGGTTAAATTCCCATGTGTGGCCGGTGAATTTCCCCACTTTTTTTCCCGTTGAATCCCCCTTTGAGATTGGTTGGATGCTATATAATTAGTGTTTTGGTTGCTTCAATTCCCCCTAGTACTCACAGTCAACATATAATATCATATCATTATGATTCATTATGTAGTTTTACTTGGAATTGCTTGAATTTCCCTCTAGTAAACCACCTTCTTTTTTGTCCTTGGTTGGTTTAGTTCACCATTTTTGGTACATTTTTTTCCCGGAAAATGCTTCGAGGACCTGGACGATTTGCTCGGCAGTTCCGCGCCAGGCGGGGAAATCGACCAGTAATTTATGGCTGGACAATCTGAACTTTTAAAGGGAAGGTATATTGTGGTATGTTACTGTCAATGTATACTATACAATAATATACAATATAGATATATATGTATACATGCATATACATACGGATATATATATATAGTTTTATATATATATTGAGTTGATTATATATGTCATGCTCGAAGTAAACGGATGATATTCAAGTCAGCCAGTTTGAATTACTGGAGGGTAGAACAGGTAAACAAATCGGGGCTTAGCCACCCTAAACTTTGGAGTTGAGCAACAAGACTGATGTGTAAGACAGAATGGCGGTTGCACAACAAAACTCGGGGGCTGAACTACCAAAACGAGGGGTATCCTCAATCCGCAAAATATGTGGATCGGATTTCAAGATCAAACTTGTCATTTCGCCAAACAAACCAGCTTTGATTTTCAGAAGTCATTCAGAGTGACGGGCCACGGGTCAAGATGAATTGGGAAAGTCTTGGTGAATGTGTTACGGAGGGGCAACCATCAAACTGCAAGGGATGTGATTCTGCTTTTTTTTGGATGCCTGAAAATAGTGAAGACTTGGATACACAAAAACAATCACCTTCAACAGCAATATGTTTTTCCATGATTTTCCAAATCCATACTTGCTTGAGGTTCCATGTTGAGTCTTGGGGTTGACGTTTGGATGAGTTCAAGAGAGTTACAGAAACAGCAGGCACTCTCATGTTAAATTGCAGATAGGTCAGGATGTAATTAGAGACCCCCGAACAACATGAGACAAATAGATGAGTCCTGGCGTCAATCTTCTCACAACTGCCAGGCATTGCGGTTTTGGAAGTTAATTGAATTTTGACGAGATTTGGCCCTATCTCATCCGGATCCTTTGTTCCATGACCAGACCTTGACGTTACTTGCTCCCAAGCCAGAAGCCTTGAAACCGATCCGACGTCCCAGACCACAGCCGTTGGGGGGCCCAGGGGCAAGAAGTGATACCCTGTTCTGCCAATACAACAAGGATCAAAATGGTGTAATTATATGTAATTATGTGGTGCTGCTTGTCTCAATCAGCAATCCCATAGCTGTACTTGCACAAAGTAGCTTGCACTGCTTATATCATTTGAATTCAATTGATATGGTGCTTTCGATACTAAGTTACTAAGCACAAGAATGGATAGAAATGGATATGGGTCAAGGGTGAGGATTCAGAGGACCAAGAGATTTTGGAACTGTTCAACCACCAGAAGATATACTGAGGATCCGTATGGTCCTCAGCCACCCATGTTGTAATGCCAAGGATTCTCGGGCCCCAGAATACCCAGAGAGGGAAGTCCTCAAATTTTGTTCAGGAGATGCTGCAAGCGATATAACCATATGTAACTGTATGTGTATACAGTATGTATGGTATGGTATGGTATGGCATGGCATGGTATGGTATGGTATGGTATGGTATGTAATGGTATTGTATGGTATGTAATGGTATGTAATGTTATGGAATGTTATGTAATTGTTATGTTATGTAATGTTATGTTATGGTATGTAATGTTATGTTATGGTACGTAATGTTATGTAATGTTATGTTATGGTATGTAATGTTATGTCATTGTTATGACATGTAATGTTATGTTATGGTATGTAATGTTATGTAATGTTATGTAATGTTATGTTATGTTATGTTATGTTTGGTATGGTATGTATGTATGCATGTATATATATATATATATGTATGTATATGTATGTATGTATATATATATATATATATGTATGTATGTATATATATATATGTGTGTGTTATAATCATACATATATATATATATATTATTATCTTCTGTCTTTAACTGAGTCGCTTGTCATGCCCTAGCGGGATCAACATCATATGGTAAACTCTCCACCATGGGTGCCGTTGTTTTGCAGGCCGCTTCGCCGCAAGAGACCACGGGAGGTGACGACAGCCATTGCCGATCGAAGCGGCTCAGTGGGTTAGCTCATCCCACGAATCATAAGTGGGGCAGTTCACCCCAGTTATAAGTGTATTGACCCTACTTATCCCATTTATAACTGGGGTGAACTAACCCACTTACGATTCGTGGGATGAGCCACCAAGTATGAAACGTGGTGATGTTCCAGTTCGCAAACTGTTAAATGACCGAAATTAGCCAAATTTATATATGTGAAACAAGCAGGTAAAAACCTATGGTTTCCTGTAACATCTTCCCTTCAACCCAACCCAACTGCTCTGAGAGCAGCAGGTGCTGATTGTCTCGGTTGGGGAGGACAAGGTCGTGCCAGAGGAGACAGATGAAGCCGCCTGCGGCTACAAGAGCCTGTTCGCCACTTGCCGTGGATGGGAAGTCGTGCTTGGCGGAGGTAACACTGACTCTGACGATTCTGGAGTCCTGGAGTATGAACCACGTGGCGTTACCTACTTCAAAAAAGGTTCTATAAATTCAAGGACCTGACATTTGATGTGTGTACAGTCATAAAAATCTTATATAAAGAAAGTAAGACTTCAGTAGACACGGTACCAGACACCCTCAAGTTTATAGTCAGTGGTAGTCACTAACAACCAGTTGGGTTTACCGTTTTTATACATACTGCTGCTGTAGTTGAGCTAAGTTGGTACGAACTCGTGCTGCACAAAATTTGGCCGATGCTGGCCGATTCGCCTTTTCCTGAATTGGTTGAGGTTCATGTCAACTGGACAAGAAGAGTGAATACTGTCTAGTCACACACATCACTAAGTGTTGTTTTCTTTTAGCTCACCTTCACATACACACCATTCTTTGTTTTCTAGAGACCTTCCACTGCGGCATTTAAACAAAATCCAAATTCTGAAAGATTATGTCATGCTAGCAAATCATGTCAGATCACATCATATGATATATATGATATATGACTTGATCATATCATATTAATGCATATTATCATATCATGTTGAAATCTTGCCATATGATGCAATGTCATGCCATGTCATTTCATGTCGAAAACAAGTGCTGAAATGCCAGCAAGAATACACATCCTCAGGTGAGCCTTGGCATGAAATAAAAATCAATAGGAAAATTATTATAGATAAATAAATTAATTAATAAGTATAAAATCATATGTATATGTATAAATTATAGTATGAATTCATATGTATATATATATATAAGATATATATATATATATTATCCGTGTTTAAGCTGGAAAGGTTTTTTAGAAGCAGGGCCTATTTATAGATATGTTCACAAACAATTCAACAAAATCCGGAATGATATTTATAATATAGGAATTTCAGCTTTGCTAAAAAAACCTTGCATAACCACTGTGCGATATTTTTTGCATACCAAAAGAATTAACAACGCTGCAAAAGACGAATAAAGCACCAAGATTGTTGTCGTTTTTTTGGGATTCTTTGGGGCTGGGTCTGTATTGCCGTCAAACATGAAATATATATTCCAATAAACAGGTGCGTATAGCGACACAAATTTACGCCGCATTATATACTTTCGGACTCCATGATACAGTATACAAACAGGAGTTTAGCCATATACCGAAACTCTTGTTATTTAATTTTGTTGGTATATATGGATTTTGTTTAATGAATATGTTTTGCATGATTTATTATGATTTTAATCGGAATTGTTTGCCTAGAAATCGCTGTATGTCTTGAGCGAGAAAATTAAATATTTTTTTAATATCGTCACTAATTTGGAATTAAATATTAAAAAATAACGGAATAATTATATAATGATTTATAATAATTTTAACTTTATTATTTAACATGACCAAATGGTAAGGCAAGGATTTTAATAAAATCCTATTTGATTTGTTAAATTATATATATATTGGGATTTTGTGTTATAATGGTTACAGAAATAAAGAAATAAAAAAATATATAATATTATATAATTATATATATATATATAAAATTATCTAATTATTTATTAAAGGAATTAATTATATATAAAATATATATTATTAATATAAATATAAAAAATATAATTTTGTAAATATTATATTATTATAAAAATAAATAATATTTATATGTATTATTATATTTTTGATGATAAATAGAAAATAAATATTTATTAAAAAAATATATATATATAATGAAAATAATA